CAAGAAAGAGTTGTCGGGAGCGCGAAAACCTTGCGGCTGCGTGCCTGTCATGGAACAAAGCCCTCGTCGCCCCGGGTCGCCTCTTGGGGCCCGTGCGGCGCTCTCGAGTACCAGAAACGTCCGCGATAGTGGGGTTATGCTAAGACGCTGGACCAGTCCCCATCAATTAGGCTGTCGCATTCAAACGAAGGTATTTCACGCCTGGTGTCTTGTGCTTACGTGCCGGCCCCTGTCTGATCGCTCTTGGCGGCGATACCCACCTGAGAGGGAGGCCTCACATTGTCTGCTCCCAGGCTCGAGAACCTCTGTCAGCTTCCACACCACAGCGGAAATACAACTTTCAAACCTCAACCCTCACAGACATTCAGGGATCAGTATGCATGGGTTTTTCGAACCAAGCTAAGGCAAGAGGTCCGTACAACAACATCGCATTATGCAGCCGCCACCACAGGACTCCCTCCCTCCTGCCCCTGATGCGAGCAGTGCAAACGATGCTACCGTCACTGCCTACGTGGTCTTTCAGTGCGCTGAATGTCGCCGCATTGTCGGAGATTCTCTAGGGCTCTCGAGCGCGGACGAAGAGTTGAGGCATATTACCCTCCGCGGTGCCTGTGGTATAGTCAGGGGCCCTTGTACACGAACATCAGAGGAAGGCAACGACCGGGGCTCCACGTTTCACGAACTTTTTTGTGAAGGCTGTAGCACTCTACTGGGAAAGGTTTATTTGACCACTCCCCCGAGGTTAGACGGGGCGCGAAATCTCTTCACCTTGTCGACGGACGCGCTGGAGAGCTTCGAGCTGGGCACTTACGATCATGTGTGCGAGGTCCCTCAGCCGGCAATGGCTGCTCCAATACCGTCAAGCGAGTGTGGCGAAAGCAAGACCTCGATCGAGGCTATGCAGATGGAGCTCGTTAAAGTCCAGAACATGATGTTGGTCTTCCACGACCGCATATCGGGCCTGGAGCGTGCACTGAAGACAGGCACGGTGGGAGCACGGACTGGGGGCGGGACCAGACGAGGAGCGTGGGGAGTTGATGGGACAGAAAATACCGCAGCGGGAGGGCCTACGTTCAAGCGGAGAAAATAGTAGAGAGGACGTGGAGAGGTGAAGGGGGAGCGGAAACCGGACAATCGGCATGACGAGGGGGAGGGAGGGGCAAGTTGGAGGGGGAAAAGGGGGCAAAGTACAAACTGGAAAGAAAATCAATGAGCGGATAGACCCTGTGTAGATGTGTTGAGGGCGCCGACAAGCGAGAAGGAGCAAGGCTCCACGGCTGTCACTTTCTTACGTCTACTTTTCTTTCCATTTTCTGTCTCAAACCGCAAACGCCCCCTGGCGAGGTTCGAAGGCTCAGTCTGCAGCCTTTGGGCTGTGTTAGGACCTGGCATGTATGTATAGAAAGGTAAATTGCGTCGCCTGGGGCGCAAGCCTCCTCGGACGTCGTGCTGCTCCTGCCGGGAAATTACGTCGGCTGGTGGGATGCATGACTCCGGCTCCTCGCCCCTTCCAGCAGCAGGGCGCTGCTTTGCCCTCCCTCCATGTCCCCCTTTTCCTTCCTCCCATGCCTGCCATCCTCTCTCTCTTTACCAATCCCTCCTCTCGGCTTTCCCTTCCCCTAACCCTTCTTGGTCGGGAAGCGCGTGGGCGTGCCGTTCAAGAGCCAGATCGAGTAGTTCAGAGAGGTGGCGATGAACACCCACACTGCGGTCGGCACCATAAGATAGGCGGCCCGAGGCAGCACGCTGTAGAAGGCGTAACAGGAGGCGGCCAGGGAGGCGTAGAAAGCGTACATGACGCTGAGCCCGAAGCCTATTCTCTTCTCCCCGAAGAAGACCAGGTTCCAGAGGTCCCCCAGGGTCAGGTGCAGCAAGAAGAGCACGACGGGCACATTCAGGGCGTCGCGATCGAGCAGGCGCCAGACCAGGACCAAGGCGGCGGTCTGAAGGAGCTTCAAGGGGACCCAAACGAGAGGGAAGACGATGGGGCGGGGGGTCCACGTGGGCTTCTTCAGGACCCGGTGGTACCAGCCCATGTCCATCTGGGTGCGGAGGAAGCCAACCTTCTCGCTGAGGAAGACGGCGGAGGAGGCCGTGAAGACGTCCAGGGAAATGAGAAGCCGGGGATTCAGCTTTCGGCTGGCGCCCGCCGCCTCCACCCCACGCCCCACCGCAGCAGCCACCGCCACCAGCAGAGCCCACTGGCACGCTGCACGGAGCGAGAGGACCGTGAAGGCATTCCAGTCCAGGATCTCGCCGTCTTTGCTCTTCCTCGTGGACGGCCCGCCGGTGTTCCAGCCGAGGAGAGCTCCCCCCTTGGTCCTGGTGACGAAAGCCAGCTTGTTGTCCTTGCTCTTCCCCGGGGAGATAGAGGAAAAGGCCCGCTTCAGATAGCCCCAAATCGACGTGGAAGATGCGTGAGGCTTCTTCGCTTTGGCTAGCATCTTGCCTTTGGCTTCTCGCCGCTGCCGCTGGTCTTGCTCTTTTGACTGTCGTCGCTTTTCCTCCTTCTCAAGTCGGTCTTGCCGTTGCTTAGCGTCCCGCCTGACTTGCTCCTCCTTGACGGTGGACTTCTTCGGGTCCCTCGTCCTTGAAGCCTTGCCCTGCTTGTTGCTTTTCTTGTCCGCCTGCGTTTTCGTATACCGGGAGCACGTAATGCCCGCTATTTGAGTCAGGAGGCCGGCCAGGGCAAGAACTGGCGCCGTGTAGAAGATCGTCGACTGAATGGCGCGGGCCACGGCAACCAATGGCTTTGCTGCGGGTCCCAAGTGGCTTGTTAGCTCATTCACGTCCAAGTCTACATCCATCCTCAAACCCTTTTGGCCATCGCTACCATAGCTCACGCGAGCAGCCCCTACCAGGTCCTCGTCTTCCTCCATCCGCTCGTTTCCACCCCCACTTTTCGTGGCGCCACTTTTTGAATCTGAGTCGCTACTTTTACGTGTCTGTTCGTACGTGCAACAAAATTTTAAGGTTCCTTCGAAACGGGGTCATCGCCTCACTGTTCCCGATCATGTCGCTAGTAGATGGTCCGTTCCGCCCTTTCCCGCGTCCAACAAGGAACTCACCCGTATTCTGGAGGCCTCCGATTCAATCACAGGCTCTGCTCGGATCTTAATGCCACCCCGCCTTGCCAATAATCGTGATATCGAGGCGGGGTCCATGGTGGAGGCGGCGTAGGAGGAGGGAGGGTGGGAGGCGGCGGGAAGAGGGGGAAGATCACTGATTCCAAGTGCCCTTCCCGCGAGAACACCTGCCAAGAGAAAGGCCACGGCCACACGGCCGGTCCCCATGATGCGTCTCTGCAGCCACCTGACTACAGAGAGTACCTGAACGTGTGTGGGATGCGATGAGTGGGGCGACACGTCGCGGCGCGTAGCAACAGAAGCGAAGGTCCTGTCTCGAGGCGGGCAAATCGCTGGCATCGTGTTTCCCTTTCTTGAGAGAGACGGCGGTGCCGCCTCTTTTTGGAAGGCCGAATTGCCAGGGCACATTTCTGACCATGTTTCATTTATCAACACTGCAGCACGCTTCATGCTGAGGAGACTGACCGCATGCCGCCCCTCTTGAATGGCTCGGAGGAACTCTTCGTGCAAAGGCACCGGACGTGACAAATTGCGCTAGCGGGGGGGAGGTTGCTGCGATATGCCCCTTTTCTGCTGGAGGCTCCTTCTCGTCTTTCAGCTGTTGCAGTACTCTGCTTTCTCGTGGAGTCACTCTACCTCCTCAAAGGTCACGCACCCGCCACCGGTGCACAGTTGCGGCCGTGGCTCGCGCCCGCGCAACCAGGTTCAGATGACATCTTTGGAGCTGTGGGTGGACGTGAGAAATACCAAGGCATTCATTCCTCTGGGAGCGAGCCGCTGTTTGACCCATCACGCTCCCACTGAACCTTTAGACGTTCCTTTCCTTGTAGAGGAGGAGGCGACAGGTCGCCTCCAGGACGATCATGAGAGGTTGGTGGGAGCAGTGTTGGCCATCACCAAGCCGGAGGACGTGACGAAGGCTATCAACCTTATTGGTAGTGTTGACTGGGTCGTGCTCGATGCATTCATCGACTGGATCCAAATACCATGCGAAAACGTCATCGCTGCAGCCCAAGGCGGGCCGACCCGAGTATGCGTGGCGGTAGAAGACGCGGAGCAGCTTTCCGGCGTGGCGTTCGCGTTGGAGACAGGAGTAGATGCCGTGTTGCTGAAGCCTGGCCGCGACCAACTCTGGTCTCACGCGCGACGAGTACAGGCCGAGAAGAATGAAAAAATTCTGCCGGCCTCGGAAGGCTCAGGTGCCCAAACCGTCTTCCCTAGCGCGGTAGGAAAGGAGCAAGAGCACGTGCAGCTCGTGCCTGCCAAAGTGGCGGAGGTCGTGCCGGGGGGCGTGGGCGACAGGGTCTGCTTGGACCTGGTGCAGCTTCTCAAGGTCGGGGAAGGCTGTCTTGTGGGTTCGTCGGCCAAGGGACTGATCCTGGTGCAAGCCGAGGTCCTGGCGACCACCTACATAAACCCTCGGCCCTTCCGGATCAACGCCGGGCCCGTGCACTCCTACGTGTTGATGGAGGATGGGAGCGCCAAGTACCTGTCCGAGATCGAAGCGGGAGACCGAGTCAGAGTGGTCAGTGCGGACGGGCACTCACGGGGAGTGACGGTGGGCCGCTGCAAGATTGAAAGCCGACCGCTCTTGAAGGTGTCGTTTCAATGGCCGGCTGGGGGCGAGGGCGGGAACGAGGGAGGGACGCGAACAGCGCAGATCTTTTTGCAGCAGGCAGAGACAGTCTGTCTGGTGCGCGGGACGGCGGAGGGGGGCGGTTGCACGAGCGTGACGAGGCTGCGGGCAGGAGACATGGTGGTGGTGAGGGCGCGGAGCCAGGGGACTCACCTGGGAAACGCCATAAAGGCTCATGTGGAGGAGAAATGACATATTTAGGATATTTGAACGAACAGAAGGGGGGGGGGGGAGCAATAGTACATAATGAGATAGTTCTACAGTCCTGAGACGCGACGCGTGAGGCGGCTTCCAGCCCCTTTACCTGGTTCTTTGTTCCCTTTCGCCTATTTATTGCACGCCCACCACTCCGTCTTGTCTATGTCCTCCGTCACACTCTACATCCCACGTGCCCCTCCTCTCACAAGGGAGCGGGTCTTTTCTCGCATTTGTGGACCGCTTAAAATTGCCCCTCTCTCTGCCTCCCGATCCGTCCCTCCCAAGCGCTGGCTGCAGGATCCTCCTTCCCCTTCCCATCCTCCGAGTCCGAGGCGGCTCCGTTTGGCATCCTTGGAACCGCTCGCTTTCTCTCTCGGGCCGCTCGGACCCGGGATCTGCCCGCGAAGAGAGGGACACACCGTGTGCTCCCTCAGTCCTTTTCTAAGCTTTACATGCCTGTATAAGAGCCCTATTGTTCCAACCCCTCAGGCACTCGCTCTGTCGACCCCCCGCCAACTTCCCACGACGGCCTCCAGACCCCCCTGGCCGAAAAGCCGGAGTCTAGCTCTGAGCCTCGCGGCCTGTCAGAGGGTGGATTGTATTTACTCTTGTCAAGATTACACGTCTTTATCAAATTTATGCCGCATTCGTTTTATCCAACTCTTCAATTACACTCAGCGGGAAGCACCACCCACCATCGCCGCCGCTCCTCCCTCTACCCCGCCCCTCCTAGACGGGCCCGGGCTGAGATGAAAGTACCCTCGGCTGTCCTGAGTCAAGGGAGCTGTCTCTTCCTCCCGCACGCTAAAACCGCTGCCGATGACACCACTTCCGCCACTGCCCGGGCCCTTGACACGGCCCCGCCGACCGTTCGACCCCACCAATGCCTCCTGCACCTCCCTCCCTTCCTCGCCCTCCTCCTGCCACCGCTCATCTGGATGCTGGTCCGCGGACGGGCGGAAATTCAGCTTCATGTAGTAGGCGTCCGCGCCGTCTTGGTAATATTTCTGAACCGTCTCCACCACGCGGTAGCCCAGCGAGTTCAAGTAGAGCTTCTGCGCCCCCCGGTTGCTGCACCGGACGTGGAGGGTGCTACAGTCCACCCCATACCGGAACTTCATCTGCACGTGCAAGATTTCCATCAGCTCCCGTGCAATACCCAGACGGCGAAAGTCGTCCAGTACAGCCAGAGACGAGACGTGGCCCGTTTTCCGTCCCGGGTAGGCGCCAGCTGCGGCCGCGGCCCCTCCAAGGGGGGTGGAGGCCGGGGCGGGAGCGCCGGGTGAGGAGGAGGGGGGGAACGGGGGGGGGCTTGGGGGCCCTACGCCTGGAAAATAGTCCCCCTGCAGCTGCGAGGCTGTGCCGACACCCTCCGGAGGGCTCCGGTTCGATACCTCCACGCGGCCCAACACGTACCCCACAATCTTCTTCCCCTCCCCCCCCATCTCGCCCGCATCGGTCGCGGCCCCGGCACCGCGCTCTCCCTCACCGCGAGCAGGAGTCTGCCTCTCCGCTACCAGAGCCAAGTACGGCCACTGTAGCAAGTGGTTGTAATAAAAGGCGTTCGGGTAGTTCTCGGGCAGTGTCTTCAGGTTGCAGGCTTCGATAGCGGGGATATCCTCCCGCCTCGCCGTCCGGATGCAGACTTGGGGCGGGGCGACTTCCAAGGTGTTTCCAGCGTACAATGAGGCCTTGGCTGACGCCGATGTCCTGATGCTATGGCTCGTCTTGCTCAAACTGCTCACATGATTCCCGGCGTTGCTTCCACAAGGATCCCTTTTGGAGGGCGAGCTACGGCCGGCTGAAGACCCGTCGACCCGACCGAAAGGACTGGAACGTGTAAAAAAATGGCCCTGATCGTGTGCCGCGTTGCCAGCTGCGGCGCTAGCTGTGGCAGAGGCCTTCATTCCCGACCTGTCTTTATGGAAGGCCACATAGCCCCGCGCCCAAGCTGGGCGTTCTGGCGGAGTCACTACGGCAGCCGAGGTCCGAAGCAAGTACAAAAATAAGAGATTTGCCGATAGCTCTCGGCGCATTAAAGAGGGGCCCAACATTTACGGCAACGCGACGAATATGGATTTGGCAGAAGCTAGGACGAGTGCGAGAGCAGAAGCCTGAGTCGACGCCCGAGGCTGCCGTAGCGCCCTTCTCACAAGCTTGGCTCCACACACCGCGCGTAAGACCGGCCGTGCAGACGTCCCGTCTTTAAGAAGTTAAGGCAAATTATGAAGAAGAAGGGACTGTGAGAACTCCTAGACACCCACGCTCACTTAGTGGTAATCGGCCTTGACGGGCTCGGTCAGAAAAGCTTTTTTGCAGGAAGAGGCGACTTCATCCATGTACACAAAGCATGCGTGTAAAGAGCCGTTGATCACAACATGTATTTGATAAAGAGGAGACGATGCTGCTGCCTTTAAGCCGAGCATGTGCAACGCCGTCAGGCATTTGGCACTTGTTGGTCTATATCCTCTGGCACGCCGAGGGGACGCCGGGGGGCTCGAGATCAGCATCGCTGTGCTTCACTACTCGCCCCTTTCACTGACTTCCTGCGCAATTCGAGGTTCAAGGCCTACCTGCAAGCACACAAGTGGCCTTCACACTTCCTTTTACACTAGATTCTTGTGACAGACAGTTTTTTGGTTGGAGCGACTGGTCGCCTGCGCCTAGGATATTTTTCTGACCTCCCCCAGTCGTAGCGCACATGCAATCGCATAATGTCGTCTCTTTATCTACAGTTGTTGCAGGCACCTTATCAAACATGCGAGTGGTCACGTTTGCGTCATTTGCACTGGCTGTGTTTCCCTTCGTGACGAATGCTTGGACAATGAAGGCCGGCATGTCTGACTCGCAAGGTCGCTGCCGCATTCCCCCGTCAGCCAGTGCACCCCGGAGTCGAAGGGACGCCCTGTGTATTGGATCCATCCCAGCCGTGACCTTGGGTTTCGCGGCGAGCGGCTTGATTCTACAATACCCTAGACGAACGGAAGCCGCGTTTCCTTTCGGAGGAGATGGGGACGTGGCAGGTCAGCTCGACGACGTTGCGCGGGCTCGTCAGAAGGTGGAAGAGGTCTTAAGTGGTCTTAAATCGAAGCAGCTGAAGGGCGGAAAGGATGACTCCGCGACCGTCGTGCGATATATGGACGCACACTACAAGCCATTGCAGGAGAAAATGGTCACGTTAGCGCCCAAGATGAAGGTGGGCGACGAAGAAAAGCAGAAGCGTCTCGAGACTTTGCCGCTGCTCTTAAAGGGGCATCTATTCGAGCTGGCCGCCGCGGCGCGCACTGGAGTCGCTGCAGAGCAACTGCAAGAGATGGAGGAAGTGGCTGAATCGGTGGATGAATTTTTGGCCCTGGCGAGAGAGTCTGGGAGGTATCAGGTGAGGGATTACCTGGGGCCCGCCCCGGAGTTCGACGTCAAACGGGAATACGGGCCTTTCGCCTGCGAGTTTTGGGGCAAAGTCCGCCTGCCCGAGAGTAACGTGTGCGTATGGCCCGACGAGGTGGAAAAGAAATAGGGAGGCTCGGGAAAATGTTCTCACAAAGCGAGCTTGAGGGTGGGGGGAAGGGGCACGGTGGGTGAAAGCGAGGCGTCGGGACGTGAGTGTCGACCCGCCGTCTCTTCGGAAAGGAGGCATGCGTATCATGAGAAGAGGACACCCTGACAGTGCGAAGAATGGCATCGGCTCAACGCCCGTTCGAGACCCGGTCTCTTTCATTTGCAGGTCATGTACTTCTTGCAGCTTTAAACCCCGCTTCCTTCTGAGACTCCGTATTCCTTCCCCCCATTATATCGCTCTACTTCTTTCTCCGACAAGGTGAATCTCCTTCGCACCTCGTCGATCCCGATCGCAGCCAATGCCGCTTCGTTCCGATCCGCAATCTTCTCGGTCAATCCTTCGTTCGCGTAGGCCCACACCCTCTCCGCTCGTAGCAAATTGAACACCGGGAAAGGCGAGCGCTTTTCAAAATGTATGGGATCCAGCTCCGACAGTCCACCCCCGAACGTGTACTGCGGATGAAATGCTGCCAATAGGACGACATGTTGAAGATCCGACGCTTCCAAAGATGCCTCCAGGAAGCGCTCTGTCTCGTAGAACGCGGAAAAATCTTCGACAAAGGCGTCGGGGGCGAGGACGATGGTTGTGGCGGTCACGTCCTCGGGCGTCTCGACCAAGGCTCTAGCCTCTTCTAGGACATGTGCAATTATGTCACTCTTTCTCCGGGCTCGAACAACGACGTAACGAACGGTGTTGTCTTGCACTACTTTCTCCGCAAAGGGGCAGAGTGGGATGCGAATGACCATATTGTGTATCCAAGCTTGGGTACGCGCTATGACAGCCGCATCGTCCATTCCAGACGGAGATGACGAGGGGTTAAACGAAGAGGAACTGGTGGAAGAAGAGGCAGGCAGGGCTACGATTTTGGAAGGTAGAGGTGAGAGGCCAATTGGAGACAACGCGATTGTATGTGTGAAACCACGTGGACGGGTGGTGCTGCAAAAACGACGCCCTGGAAGGCTGTTTATTTCGTTTGTCCGTGCATAGGGTGATCTTCTGGTTGAAAAACCGGATGGTCCCCTGAGAAGGACGAGGGACAAACCAAACCGAAGGACAGTGGATGTGGGACTTCTTCGATTTGACCAAGGCATGCATGCACCTGTACGAGGGGTATCTACAGAACATAAAGAGTGTATGTGAATCATACTCCGCCACTCATTACATTTGAACATGAACCACATTCGACCATAATGCCCTGTCGCACAGTCACCGGCTAGAAGGCAACACACCAGCCGCAGTGAGGAGATGCGGTTGCTTGCCATATTGAGCACTTTCTCACAACACGACTTTATGCGCACACCATAATGGTCTTTCATCGTCTTCGAAAAGCTAGCTTCAAATATAAAATTTGTTTTTAAGAGCCCGGGCTTCATGCAGATCATTGTGGATGCAAAGCTTATGCTGGTCAGCGCAGCGTCTGAATGCTTCAGCAGGGAGGAGGTTGGTTGGAGCGTTTAAGCTTCCATCAAATGTTTAACTTAGCCATGATATACCAGGACTTTCGCATTACCACCAGGCTCGGAGAAAGACGTCTTTTTTATGCAAACGATTGGCAGAACCTGTGAGACTCTTCGAAAAACCCTCGAGAGGAAACTGCCAGTGAAAGCAAGCGATTTTAGCGACTGGGTTCTCACTAGCCCCGCATCTACTCTCATAACCTTTCCCCAAATGTTTCACAGTGTCTTGTCCCCGGAGAACGAAATTACAGAAGATTTTGGCAGCGTTATTACGCCTATTGAAAGTCAAAGTCGTCCGAAATGGTATTGTGGGCTGTCGAAAATAGGCTGGGGCTGATATATACCAAGTAATCAAATTAAAACTTTTTTTGGTATATACATTATTCATACGTGGAATAGTATGAAGTCCAGTTATATCCATTTCATATCTTTTTCACGCCTTCAAAATATGCAAAGGCGAGTGTCGCCGCGAAACAGGGTAGCCGTCCTCGTTGGCTGTACTTGTTCGACCTGGACGGCACTCTTTACTCCAACGAAAATGGTTACCGCGACAACATCCTCAAAAACCTATGGGAATACATGCACGAGCATATGGGAATTCCACGCTCGACTCCCGCGAAGCACATATGGTAAAACATCCTTTTCCCTTCCGGGGTCATCCGCACATTCCGTCCGTCTCATGCCCTCCGTGCCACTCCTCCAACCCCTTTTGTCTCTGCTCCCAATCTTTGTGGTAATTATTGCGACAGGCGACCGTTGTTTGACAAATATCATCAGTCTTTTCGGGCATTCAAGGCTCAAGGGTGGATAGATGACTCTAAATCTGGGCATTATTGGAGTTATATCCGAAAAGACGTCGACAAATTTCTCGTCCCTGATCCTGACCTGGATACTTTCCTGGAGTCATTGCCAAAGCATTGTCCCAAGTATATTTTCACAAATGCAAGAGAAGAACAGGCGCGCGAAGCTCTGGCCTGCTTGGGTGTAGAAAGGCATTTCGAGGGGATTTTCGGGAGCGAGCACATGGGGGACCATTGCAAGCCCGAGCCAGAAGCCTTTGAGAAGGTGCTCAAGGCAATACCATTGACTCTAGTGGAAGGCAGAGATGGAAGAGAAGGAAACGCGGCAGAGGAAACGGGGCAGGATGGATGGGCGGGTGAGAGCATCGTCTTATTTGAAGATAGCTTCAAAAATTTAATGGCGGCCAAGCAGCTCGGAATGAAAACGGTGTTGATCTGTGAGTAGGCGAGGTGGCAGTGGTGGTCATGGTGGTAGAGATGTGCGCAGTATTCCATGGCACGAATGGCACACAAAGGTTGCGGTGTGACAAGACCGTATTTAAGCAACTCACGAATCTCACGCGCATGTTTATGCACCCGACAGACAGTCAGACATCTGTGACAGAGGAAGGACGGAGCGAGAAGGACTTTCATCAAGTAGATGCCGTTCTGCCCCGGTTGACGTTGCCCCATGCGCGTGAGCATGCTTCCTTCTTGTGGGATGGATGAAATGCGTGTGGAATGGGAGTCACTAGAGGGGAAAACTAATATCCTTGAAGGTATCAGGCAAATGGCTGCTCCGAAGGGTAAAGATGAAAATGAAGATTACAAAATAGTCGAAACGCTGCTATGTCAAGTGAATGTAAAAGGCGTTCCACTCGTCTCAGAATTTCCCCATCAACGTAAGGACGTTTCCAATCAAAGTATTCGCTCTGGACGAAAACACAGACCGCGTCGTAAGGATCTTGTATGCAAATGGTTTTTCCAGTTTTTTTCATTTATGGTACAGCTTTTATTTCTGTGTGGCCACTCCCGTTTACGGACAATACGAGGTCGCCCGCCGTGCTTTCTCTTCCTCCTTCTTTTCACCCCTTCTCTACTTCAAGGATGAATGGTCGATCACGTCTGGTGAAGTGGGGTCTCGGACACGATTATGCCGTCAGAGTCGGAGTACACGTAGTGTCCAGGCTTGAAGGTGACTCCTGCAAAAGTGACCACAACGTTTCTGTCGCCTGGATGCTGCTTGGCACTTTTCACAGGATTTGTACCCAGAGCTTTGACTCCCAAGGGCATGGTGTTTATAACAGCAGAGTCTCGGATAGCGCCGTAAATGACGACGCCCGCCCATCCGTTCTTCACCGCCAGCGCTGCAATGTTATCACCAAACAAAGCTCGGCGTAGGGAACCCCCTCCGTCAACCACCAGCACCCGTCCCTCTCCGGGCTCACTCAGGGTGGCTCGCACCAATGGATTGTTCTCAAAGCATTTGATGGTGACTATCTCGCCACAAAACGAAGAATGCTGTCCAAAAGAGTGAAAAGCATTGCCGTCGGCAACCTGCAGGCGGTGCTCGTGGTCGTCACACAAGTCAGCCGTTGCGGGCGGCCTGGATGCGCAAGTGCTCATCATGTGAGCTATTGCTATTGGTTGGCATAATGTGAAGGTAGTCGCGGCCATAAATAGCGCGGCATTGGAGTTACGACTCGCGGAGAGTGCATGAGACGATGAAGTGAGGTGCCGGCTCAATTTGGGACCAGCCCGTCCGAAGGCATTAGAGACGACGCGCGGCAGCATCTGGATTACTGTCGCGACAAAATGGAGAAGAAGTTAATATGTGTCTGATTGCGCTTATGTGGGTATGTTTCTGTATGCTCATGCGGTTGTAGGTGTCCGTGCATCATCCGAGACGGAACAGCTGTGATGACGCTAGCTTAGTAAGAGGGTAAAAGATACAGCGTGGGGGGTATTTTGCCTCAAGCAGGGTACCATCAAAGTGTGCTACATCTTTACTATACACATGTAGATTAAAAACCTAAACATGCCGTTTGTCGCGATGGGCCGACAGTCGCCTTCCATTGCACTGAGATGTAGGGGTGGGGAGGTTGACCCATGGTGTCCCGACAACGATTAGAGCAGATCCATTTTGAAAGACAACCCGTGCAAACCAAGTACTTTCTCGTGTAGGCCGGGTCTAATCGAGGAAGAAAAAGGTTTAAAAGGCACGAAATGACACACCGTGTCGCTCACCTATGGATCGAACAAGTACAGGTAACAAGCTTCACACGAAAAGTAACGAAACAAAGCAGGTGATCGGTATGTTTAACATAGTGAGGCCTGAAAAGGCCTCTGATGGTTGTCTTTTTAAGGGTTGTAGGTGATTTACGCCGACTTCTTCGCCTTGGTCTTGGGGAGAAGGACTGTGTAGGGTGAATGGCAAGAAGGGAACACAATGAGATAGGATGGTATATATACAAGTGAGGACCACCTGACAACCCACCAGAGTGGATGTTGGGGAGGACACCACCGGAAGCGATGGTCACACCGCCAAGAAGCTTGTTGAGCTCCTCGTCGTTGCGGACAGCAAGCTGGACGTGGCGGGGGATGATGCGGGTCTTCTTGTTGTCGCGAGCGGCGTTTCCAGCCAGCTCGAGAATTTCAGCCGTCAGATACTCGAGGACAGCAGCCAGGTACACGGGGGCACCAGAGCCGACGCGGGCCGCGTAACGTCCCTTCTTGAGGAAGCGGGAGATACGGCCTACGGGGAACTGGAGACCAGCCTTGGAGGAACGGGACACACCCTTCTTGCCGGAGCCACGGCCACCTTTGCCTTTGCCAGCCATTGTTGATGAGAGTAGTTAAGAGGTTTTCTGTGTGTGAAGAGTAGACAAGGTCAGATTTCGAACACATGAGGACCATGTACCCCCTCATAGCTAGAGAGCTGAAGGGGACATCGGAGGGCACAATCGTTAAATGTATGCGGTTTTTAAAAACATTGGGCTTTGCACAGCTTCCGTATTCCGTTCGAAGGTTACTTCAGGGTTAGTTACACCATGGAAGGGTAAGCGGCCTGAGACCTGCATTAACTGAATCACATTTGACTTGACAGGCAGAAACAAAAGTTCGCCCTACGTATAAGAAAAAGGTGACAGGTGCGACAGAGGAGTCTTCAAAGCCAGGCAGTAAATGTCAAAAGTGCACTGAGACCACATAGGCATCATGTATTCTTAGATGACAGGCAGGAAAGCAAAGAGCAAACACGAAATTGGAAATGATGAAGCGCACCGTTAAGCCGGAGGCCCGGTCGGCAGGAGAAGGAAGGCTTCTGATTGGCTTAATTAACCGTTTAGAATTTTTGACGTCATTTTTTATATCCGGGTATCGCCGCAACGCCGGATGGGGCAAACGTATCTTGATCTCGGAGAAACAAGTGTCTCCATTTTTTTTAAAAAAACTTCTATCGGTAATCCTATCGTGTATTAAATCGATGATATTCAACTTTGGACATGCTGTTGCAAGCGAACACGGTCGACGGGCTTCAAAGACTCACAATGACATCGCAGTCGCAGACGAGTGGGACAAACACGACGTTGCTTAGTCTCGTCGAACAAATACAAGGAAATTGGAAGAGAGACAGAAAAGTTTGATTTAATTTTTCATGCTACCGTGCGTCATCAACAGAGTATAGGAAACTCGCATTTCTGTCACAAAAGGGACACCGCTTCCGTGCTCAAAGAAAAACAGCAAGCGAACACAAACATTGAAGAGCCATGAGAGTATTTTTTCTGTCTTAAATTCATTAAATATGTTTCTTGGCGCTTATTAGATCGCTTTCTCTTTAAAAGCTACCTATACCTATCGACTTAACATACAAGCTGAGCAGCGAAGTCCGAAGTCTCCATGTTCAGCAGTTTTGCTTTGATAACCAAGATGCCTTCTGTGATTTTCAAACTTGAATCAGGCACCATGAAGGAAATCACAATACAGACATTCTATCTTCTATCAGTGTGTTTTCGGCGCTCTTTGTACCCCAGTTTTTCGTATTATCGATGGCTTGCTTTTGAAGGGATTATGTCCTTTCTTTCACCGAGACAAGAACAAATGTGCTGAATGATATGAAATCAACGATAATCTATATTATGTGATACAGGAATTTAACTAACGTCATTCGTGACGGGACGTACTATTAAAAAAAGACTTTCGGTTAAAGGGCCGACAACTATTCCAGTAGCGTTGCCGCTCTCCCACAAGCATGATTGCGTTACGGAGCATGTTGTTTTTCACACACAAGGTCTCTCACAGAAAAGACCTGTTTATTTCCTGCGACACATTATTCGAGACATGTATTCACGTCGATGTTCATTGGAAGCTTCATGAAATGGTGAATAATTTGCACGGTTCATCGTGAACCTCCTAAAGTTGAGATTCCATCCTGAACGCGTCAAATAAGATGAAAAAGACAAATAAAAACTTGAACAACTTGAATTATTCTTTGGAGAGAATTTCTATTTCTTCATCGTTACAAATAGTACCGTGATTTTTCTCACAAGTGCTTCGAGCGTCAAAAGAAGACGAGTTGCGAATTATTTATGTTCGTGTGTGGGGTAAAGCTTAATTTCTCGCACAAAAAGGGCAACTTTCAATTCAGTGTATCCCCAAGGGGAAATTAGGCATGAATACGACCCTATTTAGTCCAGTACCTTTTAAGTGGGTTGAACAAAAGCAAGACTTGTGTGCGCGAACGGCCACAGCTTGATGGCGTCAGGATTTCAGTTTGAATCTGCAACCGTCGGGGGACGAATAACACTTCATTCCCGCCCTCCGCCTCGTGAGTGGCGAGTCGTCAGGGTGGACGTGTCGGAGGTACCTCTTTTCTTTTCTGTCTGTCCCCCCTTAGGCCCCGCCTCCGTCCCTCCAAGTTCCACTCTGCATCTGCATACTCAAAACTTGATGATGAGTGCCGTGCGGTATTTCTTTTTGTCCATGACCAAGGAGGGCTCTTCTGACATGAAGCAACCGGAGACGAGGCTCCTTCAGTGATCTCTCTATTGCTACCCATTGAAAGATTCCTCGTCAGCCTCTTAATGTGTATAGAGTAGTGTAGGAGGCATGAAAACTGACTGTAAAATTAATGGTGGCGCCCTCGAATTATGCTCTGAGTCTGACGTGCTCATATCACGCCATTATCCAACACAGCTTTAACTCCAGCAATGGCCCGCACCAAGCAAACTGCCCGTAAGTCCACCGGCGGCAAGGCGCCCCGCAAGCAGCTCGCCACCAAGGCGGCGCGCAAGTCCGCACCCGCCACCGGCGGTGTGAAGAAGCCCCACCGTTACCGCCCTGGAACTGTGGCCCTCCGTGAGATTCGCCGCTACCAGAAGAGCACGGAGCTCCTCATCCGCAAGCTGCCCTTCCAGCGCCTGGTCCGTGAGATCGCTCAGGACTTCAAGACAGACCTGCGATTCCAGGGGTCTGCCGTCCTTGCCCTGCAGGAGGCCACTGAGGCTTACCTTGTGGGTCTCTTCGAGGACACCAACTTGGCTGCCATCCACGCCAAGCGTGTGACGATCATGCCCAAGGATGTGCAGCTCGCCCGTCGCATCCGTGGAGAGCGATCTTAAGATGATCCTACCTCCAGCAATCTTTGTATAAATTGAAACATACAAAGCAAAACTCCCAGGGTTCTATTGAACCCCTCATGTACATGGACGACGCCGCGCCTTCCCTTTTGTCTGACTTTACTTTGTAGTGTGGCCTTTGTGTCCGAGTTATATCTTTCCCACAAATATGGTCTTTGACCACCTACATACCGTTTTTATTCCAAGGGTGACAAGAACTGCTCGACAGACATGGCTCATCTGGTTGTCAATGGTGAGGTTTTCCGCTACTTCCTATTTTCGATTCATCTGCGTGGCCACATGGTTTCATGCGATGGACAATTTTATCCACAGGATTTTTTTAGTATGCTATCGACAGCGTGTATCATCCGGAGCCTCCAGGTACTTCTCGACCACCATCTTCTGAGGTGCATTGTAATTTTCAGGCCGAGCGAAAGGAGCAAGTGGAGTCACTCAGCGGTAAACTACTTACTTATCTTCATAGAAGAGCCGTAATAAGAAAAGATCACGCGGGAAAAAAAAACAAGGGCTTTCAAAATGAGCAAATTTCGATTGAGAGGAGTATATTATGGTGGAAGAATATATATGGGAGGTATTGTTGGTTTTTAATCTTTATAAGATTTGTCTTTTTAGTATGAAAGCGCTGTTGTGCAAACATCTCTGTTCACATTGCGTTCTAGGAAGTCTTTCCTGACTTCAAAAGTCCTTTCCCGGAACAATGACGGAAAATCGGAGTCTCGCACGCAAGAAACGAAGTGAAGATACTTTATGGCAGACCGTACTACCCCTTTAAATCAACAAAATGAATGAACGTTGTGATCAAATACATGAATATCTACGTGTCTTAATCTCTATTCAACAGTTGATCGTTCGCTTCGTGTTCTATTATCTTGTCAAAATCCCTTTGTTTTGGGTGGTACATGATTACCTCGCCCACCCTCCACTCACTGGCACTCGTTTCTCGACCGTCGAGTATCCCGCCCTTGGTTTATGCTCGGGGTATCATAAAAACAAAAGCTTAAACATTACCTTCTTAAGTTCATTCCATA